GTCCTCATAAGCCGAAAATTCGACCTGCCAGTGCAGAGATTAACGGGATCTTGCACGATGTTATCGGGATATGAGGCGGCAGGGAACATAGGCGCGAAATAGTGACATTCACCATAAACCTTTCGGAACGCCCTCATTTATTTCTCTCCTTGCTACTTCAGTGTTTCAGCTAGGTATAGTTTTTTACCGCCCATACCTGCCAGTTTATATAACTGTCAAACAGGATAAATTGTGCCCGTTTATACTCATTCACGTTTGACAAAAACTTACAGATATGCCTGTCGACCTTTTCTAGTAAAACACTTTAAATAGGCGTTGAAATGGCTCTATCATTCTAGTTGATTAACGTCTCGCTATTTTTTCGTTTAAGTTACATCCAGACAATAACAAAGACTACTGTATGCAGGCACCTTGGCTAACTTACCTCGCATATTTTAAGTTTTTTGTTTATACTTGTTTAAATGTCCACTTACCATTTACTTCTATCGTCAGAGAATTAGAGCAATATTTTTGCAAACTAGGTCCATTTATGTGGAATCTTCTTCGATCCACTGAATAATTAGTTAAAATTGCGAGCATTGGCCTGCTCAGCAACCTTGGGTCTATCTGAGGTCGTGAGAAATAGCACATGCATGCGGCGTATCGTCGTAATTAGGTGGCCTCGTTACTTCAAGTTGCCCATACTGCCGAATGCATGTTGTCCGTACTATTTCGCAAATTTTTTAAAACATCCCTCAAGACGCTCTGTTATGTTGTGCTTATCGATCTTATATTCCAAACACTTTTACAGAAAAAATAAACTACGCTTTATCAGTTAGTGCTACGTCTGTCATCTTAAAAGTTGGAAGGTTTATTATTTAAATTTTCACCCATTAAAACCGGTCGGCGTACAATCTTACTTAAAATGCTGTCCATTGTATCGTTTATATAGTGTAACCGCCCCATAAGTTCGTCAAATAGACAGTTTTTGCTAATTTTCTGATTGATTTTACTTACCTTGGATGAAGTTGTGTAAGATAATTCATCCACCTGGCATTTGCTTTTAACCCCCTATGTAGGGCTGTCATCTGTAAAATACGGTGCCAGTAGAGAATCTTTGCATATACCAGTAGTGTTTCGTAAAAACAGTTGAATTTTAAAGAATTGTCCGTAGGGTACTGGAAAATTCGTCTTAAATTGTTTGGAGCATGTTGTTTTAGGCATGAATTTAAAAGAAGCCTTTATGGTTTGTTTACAGCATGAGTTGCGGACAAAGTATACGAACATCTTAAATGTTTTTGAAAATCAATAAGAGAATAGCATGTCCGTAGTTCTGAACAAACATTCTAAACAAAGTAAAGTGGTCATCTAAAATGCTAAGAGAATAAAGAATGTGGGACAAAAAAATTCCGATCCACAAAAGCGAGAATTAACTAGACAAGTTCAAGTTTGCTACGTAGTTCGGTTTTGCATTGCCAGGGCTTATTCCTCTGTACTTGTGTTGCTTCTAAACGACACTGTAAACAAACAGCTTGGATATTGCGCTACGCGGAAGCAACTTATGCCATGTGGCAAACTTGACCTTGCCCCGTTGATCCTCACTTCCCCAAGTCGCACACTTCCTTGTGTGTTATCGATTTTTTCTCTCTCTTCCAGGTTGATGATTATTTTTGCTTAGACCGGTTTTCCGAAACTATGATTCTGCCGTTCTCCCGTTGATTTTTGAAAAATTGGAGTTGCCCTGCTCTGAAACGACAAAAAGCAGTTGATGAGCAGTTGCAAAATCGCTTGTTAAACGTGCATTTGCCGTTTACTTTCACTGTTTATCCTTTAACCGTAAAACTTTGCTTATGCGACGACATGGTCCTACGAGATGATATGTCACGCATTACCACCATTTATGGAACATTTCTGTTTATTGAAAGGTTATATTTTGTGTTCCACATAAGCGTGTGGACTCCTGTGACACGGCTCTACCTAACACTCATTGTCACTTACTGCCTCCTACCTCCCTCCCCCCTCTGTTCACATATCCTGTTTGTACGAAAAGACGAATCACAATCGATTGTTCTTATCTCTCACACGTTTCAGTTTGTATCTCATTCCCATATAAATGTAGAGGCCTGATGAGAATTTCTCGACAACATGCGCATGCTCGCCAAATGCGCTTCTCTTGCGATTTTGTGGGGAAAATGACCGACACAAACCCCGTATTGATGTCGCGTGTTGTGCCAGCCTTGTTTCGGCGCATACCCAATGACTGACTTGTCTCCTTGTATGGACTGTGTCCGTTTGGATAGTTTCGATTTCGGTCGTGGTTATTTTATTCTTCCGCTAGAGCCTACTTATTTCCTGGCCTTCTCTTTCAGCTTTTCGTCTGTGAGTTTGTCACCAGAACTTTCCTTCATCTAGGCTACTAAAAAGGATTTCGTCGGTTTTCCAAGTCAGCATGTTATTACGAATGGAAGAAACGAAATGGTAGCATATAGCTATTTCAAAGTCACTTCAATGACATCTGACATGTAACAACTGCAGACTACGGTCCTCCCTCTGCAGCTTTTGGTCACTATTTAGGATATTACCAAAATTTCAAAGAATTCTGTTTACGTTTATTTCATTTGTACTACAACAGATTGATATTCCTATATGGTCAAGTTGAACTCACATATTGCGCATTGTTCCTCTATTTCAGAAGATGGGCGTCGTTTCCTGTCTTCGCTCCCTGGCAAAAGTAATTGACTTTGCAAGTTTCCTGCATGTTTGCTTTTCGCTTGACCTTCATTTATATGTTGCCCGCCTCGTTTTCATTCCCGCGGCTAACTATTTTGGAACGGTCCAATGTGGTCTTCTTTGCCGTGTTGGTTGTCCGCTGTGGATCGCATCTCGTCTTTGTTTAAATCTCTTTCGTTTCCGCCAACGTTCTAAGAAGTTGGCCAAAAAATTGAAAAAAATTACTGAGGTTCGGAATAACATATCTTCAAAACTTCTCGGCCTCCAAACACCTATCCAGAATGTGGATAAGGTCATCGGTCTTCGCATGGACCAACTCCGTCAGCACATTGTTGAGAAGAGAGACCTTACTACTCTTGATGTTGTTGAAGCCTTCCAGGTGTATGCGGTACAGCTGCAGGAGGCCGAAGCTGGTTGCATCTCTGAAATCGTTTTTGACGCCGACGTCACGGCCATTCTGGCCGATCAGGAACTGTCAAACAGCGCACCACCCAAAAGCCCCCTCCACGGCATTCCCGTGAGTTTAATCAACTGTATTCCTATCAGAGGAGAGGACTGCACTGGATCACTAGTCTTCCGGGCAAACGAGAATACAGCCTGTGATTCTAAGATTGTTTCGGCCCTGAAGAAAGCTGGTGCCGTGCCGATCTTACTTTCAAACATGTCTCCTCTTCCCTGCCAACTTCTCACTTCAAGCAAACTCTATGGCACTTGTAAACACCCAAGTCATCCGGATCGTGCTGTCGGGGGTTCTTCTGGTGCTGAAGCCGTTTTACTTCTTCGACGCGCATCGGTTCTTGGTTTTGGAGTAGACACATTCGGGGACGTAAGGATTTCTGCCGCGTTCTGTGGAGTTGTCGGTTTCAAACCCACTTCAAATCGTTTAAGCAGCGATGACATTCACATGTCCGTCCGTCCTCCCTTCTTCCTATCCCCGGTAGTTAGCCCTCTGGCCATGGACGTAGCGAGTATTGCAAATGCAATGGAGTCCCTTTGCTCCGCTCCTGTCCTTAAAATTAACCCTTCTCTTCCTATGTGTCCCTTCTCTACTCTACAATCCCCGAAGAAACTGACCATTGGGTTTTATACATCTCTTCCAGGGCTTATTCCTTGTGTGCCGTCCGTTGACCGCTGTCTGGCCGAGGTTAAATCCATTATTCAGAGTTTGGGTCATAAGGTGGTGGACATACAGCCCCCCAAACCCGATGAACCCCTCCTTCTCACACTGAGCTATCTTTCAGCTGACGACTCGTACTGGAGACTTATTGTCAGGCAGAATATGGGTGATGCTCTCTCCATGGCCGACATACTAAGGTGTGGTCTTGCTGTCACGCCCTACTGTCTGAGATCTGTTGTTGGCTGGCTACTTAAACGACAGCAGGGAACTTCCTGTTCGCTCACAAAGAAGTTACTCAGTGTCTGGAAGAAACAATTACCAGTAGGTGAATTGGAGAGCCGCGTTCGTAAGTACCGAGAGAATTTTATGACGATGTGGGAAGAAGAGGAACTTGACCTGCTTATTGGACCAGCGGGACCTTCTCCAGCTCTCCTGAATTCATCATCAGCAGCGCTATATTTTATGAATATGGGCTACAGCCTTATCTTTAATCTTCTTGATTTTCCTGCTGGCGTGCTACCAGTCGGCAACGTGACAAAAACCGACGTTGAAGCGAGTGCTGAGCTGGCCTCTAAGGAGCCTCCGAGTTCCCTCTTTGGGCAACTGCTTCGGCAACAGAAAACCTCCGAAGGTCTGCCTCTGGCAATTCAAGTTGCTGGAAGGCCTTGGGCAGACGACCTGATCCTCTATGCAATGGAACAGCTGGAAAATAGAAGAAATTGATGCTCAGACCAAGGAAGTTGAAATTTTGCCCAAAAACTTGCATACTGCCCATGTCCATTTGCCTAGATTTCCTATGCTTTACAGAACTACTGATTCGAGCGACTGGTGCGAACCAGTTATTGGTAGGGTGACATGTCGGAAAATGTAAGCTGTTTTCTGAAATCATGTGCTATTTTCATCACTTTCTTCACCACATCGGGGGAGACTATTCGTGCGCCAATAAAGTCAACTCTGGTTGTCTCTGGCACATTTTTCATGCGTTCCTCCACTTTAGCTTGATTTTCGTGAGGCAAACTGACAGTTGCTCTCCTTGAACGATCTACTTTCTCCGCATTCCTCACTGTCTGGCAACTTATAGTCAACAAGATGCCGGCTAACGCTCTAAGAAGAATGATTGCGGACCGCCAGTTAAGAAACTGATAACACTTTTTAAAATTTCTTCCAGACACTCTTAGCCGCGCGTGTCTGTTTGCAGAATGCGCTGGTGACTGGCAGGTGGGCACGGCGCCACAGTGACGTGACATCGACGCATGCGAGGCTCGTTGTGGAACCTGCGATAGCATTAGTGATTGGCATCATTTTAAGATATGACGTCAGCAGATCTGTGTGCCAAAAGAGCACTGAGGCGTTGCCTTTAATTTCTTAAATGCTGCGACTCACACGCACCCTAGCTCTCGTTTTGCAGTCAGTTCTTGTTCGTCGTTTTATCCAAGTTAACTCATACTGTTTCTCCAAACAGAATTTCCATTGGCTCTTTGACTTGTCGCAAGTAATGCATTAAGCTATCTATAAAAACTTAGAAGTGTTAAAATCTCGGTCATTTCTCGTCAACTTTAAACGCAATCCAACTGCGTGCGTTCATTATAGGCAAGGTTCCTTCACATAAAAGATTCAAACAGAGGCTTTTGCAGAAAATAGTTCCCAGAATGCCTGATATTTGGCTATATTACAATGTAAAAATAACAAACCCCATATTCATACCTTGTTGAGCGTTTTTCTGGGAGGGTCATAACCTCATTAGGGGTGAATTTACTTCATTTTGCAACAAGTAGGCCTGACAGGAGCAGCAAGAAACATTTTTAACACTGCCATAAAATGCAAAAGTGGTTTACATGGCTGCCCCATCAAAGAATGGGCAGGTAGATATCAAAGCTATACTCTTATGAAGTGCAGAATAGGTGAAGACGGTAGCCACTAACTTGCAGCAGTCATTTTATGAGAAAGGCATTATCCTGAATTCTGGCAGAGAAGACTTCTGCGAACCAAATGCAACCTTCTCGAAGTAGATCAATATTTCATGCTTAAGGTTGTTGGTTGAAACTAGGGAACTGCGTTGTAAACGACGGGGCTGGATTTCTTGAAGTTAGCAATTTAGCATCTAAAAAACAATGTTTTATCCACCTGGGCTTTCGGACCTATTCTTGTGTCTATCCTCGGGACTATTAAGGGAGCGACAATAAAGGCAGTTTGAACTGTTACCTAACCAGTCAGTCTGGTGTGGTGTCATTGTGGAGTTCTGTATCGATCCCAAGTAACCGGACTGCGGCCCTTGGCATGACTACGTAACGCTTGGCACGCTGACACGAGTTATGCGCACCCGTTTAACGATACTCGACTAGGTTCCACGCCACGGTCGACTCGCGCACGGCTCGTCCGACTACTGACTGGACGGAAAAGTTGAGCCTGCGATTTCGCTCCTGACAATGACTTGTCGCTGCTGATACAGAATCCCTCCGTTGAACTGCCGTTGTATTGGCAGTATGTTATTACCGACAAATACAAGGGGGACTGGAATGGCCATTTCTGGCTTATTAGCCGTCGTCAGCCAGTCACACCCAACCACAAAGTGTGGAACATCCGAGACTCGTTAGTTAGAATTCCACGCCTCTAACCACTGGGCCACAACCCCTTTGTCCTGTCGGTTTTCGATCGGGAATATACAATGGTAGGGGATGCGCATCAATCAGTCTTACGGAACTCACTCGTTCCGTTGTGCCTATATCATGCACCGTTGTGCGGCTGCTGGTTGGGCTCGAGAGAGAGCTCGTAAGGCACAACGGAACGAGTGAGTTCCGTAAGAACGATCGGTGAGCACCCCCTACCATTGCCATCGCATTACCATCTAACGAGGACCATATTTTTCGCTCAGTTCAACTTTTGTAATTGCAGTGAGGATCAGTGCAGTTGATAACACGGGATTGCCATGCGGGTCCAACTCGTTCTGAACGCGCATGCTGTGACTACACGTTGTGGTCATTAATGTTTTAAGATGTGGAAGGTCGTGCCTTTCAGTAATATCATCCGATGCTTTGGTTTACATATGCTGGCGCTACTTTTGCAGGCATCAAGAGAAAGGCTGAGTGCGTGATTTACTTCAATTACTACTTCCCAATATCGAGGTAGCAATGTAAGAACAGTCAGAACAGAAATTATTATTCGTTGCCGCTCCAGTTAGTCTGCAACCGCATATGGCAAGATAACGAAAAGAACATGGTTATCCGACTTAAAGTAACCAGAACCTAGCATGGAACACACAAACGCTCCAGTGCCTGGAAAACAAAAATTAACGGGGTCTACTGTATAAGTTATCAACTCAGAATAAATGCCTGCCGCGTGTTTTCATTCCCAAGTGCCTACAGCCCCATTATAGCAGGGGACTGACTATAATGATGAGGCAGTGTTATGATGGCAAAAATGTTTTCGGGATCTGGATGATGACCAGTAATGTCAAAAACGAATCCAAGGTACCTGATGTAGTCGAGGAAGAATTGGCATTTGTCGGCTCGCATGCCGAAGCCACATCCTTGCACACGTTCGAGTACTACGCACATTCGGTCTTGCAGCTCGGCAGGGGAGCGACCCACGATACTGAGGCCGTCCAGGTCCCCAGCTGTGCCAGGAATGCCGAAGAGCATTGCGTTCATCGTTTGTTGGGCGGTCTTGACACCAGAAGGCAGTATGGTGTGCTGAAACTGGCCGCGGTGGGTGTTCATGGTCCACAAGTCGGACAACTCTGGAACAACCTCAGTCTGTAAGTAGGCGTCAGCGATATCCAATTTGGCAAAGCAAGCACCATCATTCAGCAGGGTGGAAATATCAGCCGGGACCGGCAGTGGATAGCAGTTCGGGGTCAGCGTGGCATTAAGACAGGTGAAGTCAACACATACACGGATTGCACCGTGGGGCTTCTTAACCATGACTATTGGGGCGGCCCAGGCTGGGTAGATTACAAGAGCTAGAACTCTCAGTTCCTCCGGACACCTCAGTTCGGCCTCGACAAGTGGCAAGGCCGCATATGGACTGGTCTCTTTGGGCAGAAGACTGGTTGACTTTCCGGAGATAGATGCAGCACGGCTTGAGTGTACATACAACGATCCAGACCTTCTTGGAACACTAGAGCAAACCGTTGGAGAACGTCCTTGGCTGGGTCTGCAAGCACCGCGGGAATCTGCACCTGACTGCAAACAAAGCGGAGCGGCATATCGGCCAAACCAAACTGTCCAATCCAGTCAAGATCAAGTACGTTGGGGTCATATTTGGTGACGTAGCAGATCGCAGTGATGGTAGCGTCGCGGAATGACAAATAGCACTGCAGTTGCCCCATTAACTGGACGAGACCACCGCACGCGCTTGTGGCGGACTGAAAAGTCTGCAGCATCGTGAGACCGCCAAAGGACTACCAGAGTCTCTCGGAGGCGATAATGGCGTCTGAGGCAGTGTTCAAATGTAGGCGGACTGCGTGGCCATTGGGCAGAACGTCAACAGACTACCTACGACCGGTCTTTTTGAGCTCGAAAGTGGCCAAGAGACTGGGATTTGGACTTGCGCTTGGAAATGGAAGTGGAGGAGGCGGGCTTGCTTTCCGAAACTGTTGTTGATTTGGACAACCCATAACGGTGTTCAATCTGGTTACAGTTTTGGAAGCGATGCTGGCGAAAGGTGCAGTCCCCATAAAAATGCCATGTGCTACGGTGCTGACAAGGACATTGCGGTGATCTCGCCTTGGACATTTGTGTGGACCGCGTAACAGGAAGCCATTTGGCCTCTGCGACCGTATGGGCTGAGCAGGATGCGGCAGGGCTCTGGAACATGGCTGAGTCGTGCTTGAGGTTAGTCGGCAGTTGACACTCCGCCGCCAGCTCTTGGAGTGTGATTGAGTTTTTCTGCTACACTTTGGATAGCACGCGTCCGGATGTCAGCATCCTTGGAGGGCTGGAGGCCGCAGATAAATATTAGGCCTTTGAACTGATCTTCAGTGAGATAACCGAGTTGAAAACGCCCACACTCAGGATTGACAATGTCGCGTACGTGACGACCGCTCACCGAAAATCTGCGACGGCGTCTGCGCTGTATCCGTGAAAGTGAATCATCGGGGGGTTCTTCGGGAGAATGAAGTTTGCATAACGCCCGTGTTCAGGGCCCAGTTTACGGAGTAGGAGCCGTACCTTACATGCATTGTCCTGGGCAGCCAGATCGACAGAAAAAGTCCTCGTATCAATGGTAGAGGGGCGCTCACCGATCGTTCTTAGGGAATTCACTCGTTCCGTTGGGCCTTACAGGCTCTCTCTCTCTCGAGCCCAACCAGCAGCCGCACAACGGCACATGATATAGGCAGAATGTTATTACTGACAAAGGCAAGGGAGATTGGAATGGCCGGTTCTGGCTTATGGCCGTCGTCAGCCAGTCATACCCAACTCCGAGGTGTGGAACACCTGAAGCTCGAACTCGCGACCTGTTAGTTAGCTGTCCAACGCCTCTAACCACTGGGCCACGGGCCCGTTGTCCTGTCGGTTCTCGTATCATTTGTACCAGGAATCAAAGAAGATATGGGTCTGGGGGTCATACAGGAACTCAATGATGCTGCCGGCAATGTGATAGACGGATTGTGAACCACCAGCCGCGCTTGATTGACCCATGGACGACTTGGGTAGATTAACGATCAGAGCCTCCATCGGCTTCAGCTGTTGCTGCAACATCTGCTTCTAGTTGGCGTAGTTGTCAGCTATTGTAGTTGAGAGTCTGCGTCGCCAAATTGCTATGGTCCGGCCTGATACTCAGAAATCACGCGAGACGTCTGCGCACTTGACTGTTGTCCCCAATCCCATCACGGTAGAGAAGGAGAACACGACCAGCCAAGAAAAAATGTGTTAGAATTCTGAAAGTCATTCTGACTGGAAAAAATAAAGCGTATTTATAACATCTTATGGGGGTTGACCTGCATTCCGTCTTCAGCGCTTCAAGAAGCAAATTTCAGACGAGTTGATCGATTTCTCGCATACATGGACTAACTAGGTTTTAAAGGAGCAGCCAATGGCAGGGCGCTATCATCATGCTGACAGCGTGCTAAAGAAGGCTCACGTGGCCTCTGGTGATTGGCTGGCTCTTGTTCAGAGAGTGCAGGCACTTCCAACAGGCAGGACTTCAGAGTTGGCATTTATTGCTCCACACTTAAGGCATCTTCGACGCCTTGATATGTTTTCTTCAAGGTCTAAATGCCTACGTTGTTTACCAACTGGTAGGTTTAATGTGCAACCCAATTTGACATATCAGAGACAGATTGCGCCTCATAGATCAGTCGAGAGTGGTCTGCCGAATTTCATGCGTTCATTGTCACTCTAACTACACAAATAAGACTGAAAATAAGGTCTCGGTTTGATAACGCTAAAAGGGCAGTTCGACGGAGCGATTTTACATCACTAGTGCCTAATCATTTTGGGAGTAAAACCACATCTTCGGTGTTTACGCCATGTCGATTGTCGAGTAAGCTGTACGGGGGTCGTGACAGCTTAAGCCATAGGCGGACTCGGGCCACTACGATCTTCAGGTCCGGTTCCGAAGAGAACGAAGAATTTGACTCCAGTCGCGAGAGCGTTGTGTTCTGTGCAGAATGAATGTGGAATAAGCTGGAGCAAGTTGGTAGAAGAACGAGGGCACACAGCCGGCCCCGTAAGAGCAGCATCTGAATGTCACCCGGTGCAGGCGTCAGAGCCCCTTGAGGGCGGACACATCTGAGTCAGCCTTGAAGTTGATTCGCCGGCTTGAATAGATTTTCAGATTTTTAATCTCCTCAGAAATTAATTACTTACTTAGAGTTTATTAGCCGGAATTAAGTTTTATTGACTCATTCCGAAAGTTGATATGGGTATTTGAGCCGAAACACATCGGCTACAGCGTTATAACCGAGTATCTATCAGAATGCACATAGGGGACGGTAGGGGGGACACTGATGAACCGTACACTTCGCAGCTGCGTCATGTGGTGGTAGAATAGCGGTAAAACACGTGTTTGGACTTTTAGCTGGTACTTCTGCCGTCAGTATGATAAATCATATTAAATTTGGATAACTGCGGTTGGGCGAGAACCGGACTGCAACTGGCGCCCTCGAGAGGCGCAGTCTCGCAGGAGACGCCCGAAGTGGGCCCACCATGTGCGAGCTGGTCGAGACGTTGGACAAGTCGAGTATCGCTAAACAGACGCGTCTAACTCGCGTCAACTTACCACTTCGTACGTAGTCAGTCCGAGGGCCGCAATCCAGTCACAAATATCGACATCATTATGCACGATGTCCTGACACCAGGCTGACCGACTAGAGAACAATTCAACCAGCCTATATTGTTGGTCCTTTCACAATTCCGAAGGCTCAGGTGGGAAGCAATTTTTTTAACCAAATGATGGGTAACGTTTTCCAACATTTTGTATTTATTGGACGTATTTTCTTATCATAACGTATTGTATCTTGGGCCTGTCTTTACTAGTCTCGATCGTCAACCAGAAACTTTAATAACATACAAGTCCAGCACGTAAGGGTTACTTTTGAGTCGGTTATATTCTTCTCAAGATGAGATTGCCATTTACAAGAGAATTGAATTCTGTTCTTCGCTTCATAAATGTCGAACACTCGGGGGGCGGGGGGGAGCTCTAAACAAAAAATCGAGGTTCCACGGTGCAACTTAGATGTAGTTCGCCTGTTCCCAGGGGATGACAGTTCGACCATCGTTAACTATGGTGCCCGCCGTGTGTCCCAGAGCATAGAGGGTGCAGAGCCGACGACTTGCGCGGGAATTAATTTATCTATCCCATTCTGTCCTCTCTCACCCACCTGAGCCCGACGTGAAGAGAATCAAGAATATCGGAGACCGGATTAGGCGCATTGACTGGCAAAACTAAACAGACTGCCTACCCGTGCCACACATGCGTGGTCCACGCATGATGGACAAGGTTTCGTGGAAGCAAGTAAGGGGACAGCCCGCATCCCAAATGAGCAGGGGTGTCGTAGAGATCATTCAAAGAAGGAGTCATTGCAGCCTGAACTCCGTCCAGAAAGGGTCTATTTATTTCGTCGGGTTGCAGTCATCCAAGCCAAGGCCCTTCAATGTGCCGTGGTACAGTAAGTGGACTAACTCATGAAATCTCAACAGAAATGTCGAAATACGTTTCAGTTTTGAGAAGATTAATTAATTAGGGTTGTAAAACCAATCATCCTGCAGCACAATTCTATAATAATTCAGTTACCTCAGGACGCCGGCTTTCAAACAAACTTCTTTTTGGCTGCATCCAAAAACTTGTAAAGTTAACAATGTGGCTCAAATCCACTGCATAATTTTATGAACCCTATATGGGCTCCCTTTATAACCGTAGAGAAATGTATGGTTTTCCGTACGCGGAAATTATACGGCTTGTAGTTTGTGAACCCTGAATGCAAGTGTACCGGCATGTTGGGTTCAAAATTACTCGGGAATTGGAAAAGTTTTATAAAACAAAATGTTACCCTTCCTTCGAGTGTTAACTTAAAACAAGATGTAATTTTCTACTGAATGAGCAAAAGAATGAAGATATTTATGCATGTTTTCCATGAAACGTAACTGAATCTTTAAGGGCATCGAAAATCAATGAAAAAATGCATGCTACGTACGTAGTCAATTTTTTACGGAGTAGGGTTTTTGGATGCAGCCAAAAAGAAGTTTGTTCGAAAGCCGGCGTCCTGGGGTAACTGAATTATTATAGAATTATGCTGCAGAATGATTGGTTTTACAACCCTAATTAATTAATCTTCTCAAAACTGAAACGTATTTCGACATTTCTGTTGAGATTTCATGAGTTAGCCCACTTACTGCAGTTTCATAGCGAGGAATATGCACTGAATGCCGTGGGCACGCTGTCCCCAGAGCCGGTCTCACCCTCTCTCCCTTCGCCCGTGCGTTATTACACTGTCTGAGCCGATCAGCTATCTGGTGTAGGATTGGACGCAGATGGCTGACTGAGTCAAAACAGCCCGTCTTTGCATTTCACGGACGCTCTGGCTCCCCGTACAACATACCATTTTTTCAGACAAAAGGTTATGGGTGGTTCGGATCTCGCATGCGTAAGAGTGCTATAGAGACCACGTAGAGAATGAGCTAGGAGCACACTTCCCACCTACGTGAAAGGTAGCTATTCTGTGTCCCTAAGGGTTGAAGTCAAAGGAGTTCGTGGGTAGGGCTGCTGGGGAGATGTTTTGTGGGGCTTTATAAGAGATTTTCGTGAAAGCACTCGTGTACGAGCAGACCGATGCGACGACTGAATGTGCGTGAGCAATGCGGGCATCTGAGGCGTGGGTTACGAGTGTACATTAGTGTCCCTGACACCGGTTCGCTAGTGTCAGTGCGATGGATTCGCAGGTGACCGGTTAGGCCGATAAATGATGTGTATGTGTAGTGGCAATATGAACAAGATGGGTTGGTACCTGTTTTACTAGTGGCGGCGGTTATGCTGATATTTATGGCGACATGTGCGTGAGACGGGTTTGACATGCCGACGCTGGGGGGAATTCCATTGTCGTGAATGCGCATGTGGCCAAATAGGCCCATGCAGTGACTAAACAATGGTAAACAATGTGGTCAGTTGAGGCGGTTGCTGAGGGTGTATTTCGGGGCCCCAAGCTTAGGCCCGCCAGTCTCCGTACGGCGTATTTGCAAACGGCCGACTAGGCTGATGCTTGATGCGGAGATATGATCACGATGAGAACAGGTTGCAGTCGAGCATGCATTGCTCGCTGTATGTTCAGTGGTGGTGGCGGCGAGAACGACGACAACGGCGACGAGGGTGGATAGGTTGGTAGTCGGTGGAGCGTCGGGACGTCGGAGTCTCGGAGCGTCAGGGAGTTAGGTTGGCTCTCATTGGTGATGGGAATGGGTGTGGTTTTTGTCGTCGGCGTCGACGCGGTGGGTGTGGCAATGATGGTAAGCTGGTAGGGTTCTTGGTTGTCGTCGTTGTTTGTGTTGTAGAGCTTTGCTGCAGAGGTGACAGTGTAGGAGCCTTCAGAGGCAACAAATGAAGTTGTCGTGCTGTTGTTGCGCCGGGTCTGAGGATGTCCACTGAGGTCGAACTATGCGTGGAATGTTCGTTGAAAATGAAGATATGATGGGAGTGGTTGGGTATTGACTATATAGGTCGGAGACGCTTGATACTTGCGTGCCGCTCTTTCGGCTTTGGCAGCGGCGACACTATTTACTTCGTAAATTACTACTCTAGTCTCCACTACTCTGCTCCGCATAGGTTGGTCCTGGATGAAGTCTTCCCAGGCCGCCGTATTGCTTTGTGGATGCATGACAGAGGTTTTCGGGTATCCTTGTAGTGCCACTTTTTTTCTCCTTGTCAGCGAGCACCCGCAGTGGTGTCGCCGTAGAAGAGTCGTTTGGGTAGGTACACCTCATTCATCCACGCGAAGTGGGCATTTCGGTGCAATTTAATTTGCTTCAGCGTTACGTATAGGCAGAGCGTTCTGGGTTGTTCAATTAGTTCTGTTTCCGGAATACTGTATACCCATCTCAACTTCAGAATTCTCCGGAGGCAGCTAAGTTTTCCGTCGACTGTTCAGGTTCCGGCTCTGTACAGTAACGTTTTCAGGATGACAGCTACCTGCATCTTGAGTTTTGTGCTCAGATGGAGACTGTGACGATTCCAAACAAAGGCCCTGCAGATGGCCAAAGCCCTTGCTGGCTTTTGAGATCTGGTGAACCACTTTGCGTCAATTTAGATGCTTCCTGAATGTATGCTGCCTGAATTCGAAAATTCGTCCGTTTTTTGAGTTGGATATCGTTGAGCTTAACGTGAGGGTCAATGGATTATGTGCCGAATGACAACTGGTGCATGTCATTGAGGCCCGTAGCCCAGTGGTTAGAGGCGTTGGATTTCTAACTAAAAGGTCGCGAGTTCGATCCTCGGGTGTTTCACACTTCGGGGTTGGGTGTGACTGGCTGACGACGGCTAATAAGCCACAAATGGCCATTCCAGTCTCCCTTGTCTTTGTCGGTAATGCCATTCTGTCAGTTAATTGTCGTGCGGAGCAGTCGCCATCTACATGGGGCTAATTATGCGGCCTACCACGCCTATGCGGTTTATTCCCTAACTGGACGCTTCTACACCCCACTCACGACGTACACGTTTTTTGCAGGATCTTCACTCCCTTCAAACTCTGTAGGCTTATTTCGAATTAGCATTCCATCTCTGCCATTATTTAACTTTTCAGGGCTGTTTCGTTTGACAGTAGCTCTAAGAGTGGGATACCGAGTTATCATCGGTATTACATTTCTGCGAAATTATTGGTGAAACTCTGCCCATATACAATTATAACTTCATTTCCTACGTTTTTCTACTTGTCAGCGCTGTTAAAGACTTCAACGTAATCACGCGCGAATTTGACAGCGTCTCTGAAAATAGTCTCTAATCTAACATTCGAAATATGTCCACGCATTTTAGTCAGCTATTTCTTATAAACAGTATATCTTCTAGTCTCCACGATGAACCCTCTGCAAATAAACCTAACGCAACATGCGAAACTTAATAGCGATTTAATTATGAACATTTAAGTACAGTTTTTCTGATTTTCTACTCATCTATCTGGAATTATTGTTTTTCGTGGAAATCATGCATAAGTACTTATTCATTGGACCCACTTGTGAAAGATTCGGCGGCATCAGTGTAATTCGAACCCACTGCAGCAGAGGATAAGACTCGAGTACAGCCAGCGCTCTAATATCCCGAGTTACGAGCCTCCACCTGGAGCCGTCAGTTTATTTTTATTTGAGTCACATTTGGAGTATTTTGTCAAAGTTATGCTTAAAAACGTTGAAACTCCTGCCTTTGTAAGAATATCGTCTAAGATTAATTAGGTTATCCCACTGACAGACGAGTTTAACGGTGACAAAAGTTCATAATAAAAATCTCCTTAGTTAAGCCATTAAGTCAACAAACTTTCAAATTAAATGGGGTGAGCATACAAAAACTACGTGAGTTAGTTTTTATTCATCATGTGAAATTTTGAAGAAGGCTTGTGGTTTTCACTTAAACATCTGTCTTGCTTAACAAACGTCCGTTAATAGCTGTGAAAATAACTAATCTACTTGTTTACATTCTCAAATTTTCGTCTGAGACTGCCAAAAATTTGGAACTTCTCCTTTTTAAGTTCTACGTGTTTCTCGTTTCCTGTGTACACTAATAGATTTGGTCCTTGATTGTACACGTTACGTTGATTCATAATGTACTGGCGAAAAAGTGGGATTATTATAGTCATGGAGAGGATATTTATGGAAATACTTCGAACCTTTTCTCAGCACAGTGGTCTGTACACCAAGAAGAATATTAAGAGCGCTCATATTGGTAGCGTACTTTTACTACTTGAAGACTGGGCGGTTTACGAGTCACTTTACTGTTTAAAAATAAAATAACTTTCAAAACTGTTAATTTTTGCATGGCACATAAAGTATGCAAACAGAATCCCTCTTCTAACTACGTAGTAACACTGACATCGAGTAAATGAGAGCCCTTTTCTTCTATTTGCAGAATAGTTGACAACGGTGCCTAACATGTCTGACTGCAGTATATTGGCTTCTTTCCGAATGCTGCTGGATAATCCCCAGCTTATTGGCATGCACCCGACCCTTCAGATAAACCCATGGAAAACCCCGGTGTTATCAAGTCAAATGAAAGTAAAAGCTGAGCATATCTAAGTTCTGCATATCTAAATTCCTCCTTCGGAAATTTGCCTTAGCAGTTGCATTGTGATCTTGGCTGTGCCGACAGTTGCTTCATCTTTCCACCGCCATGCCTCAGGTCAGTCCTTCTTCACAGCAGGATGTACTCAAGTCTCCAGCACTGCTTCATATCGGTCGCCGGTAACCGTGCGTCTGTACAGCCATCTTTGTCCTGAAAAAAGCTGGGGCCTGATTACCATTCCGGATTTTACCATGCACCAAACCGTGACCTTCAGGGTGTGCGAACTATACTGAGGAATGATGCTCAGATTCTCTGTGTCATAGTCCAGTATTCTGCCTATACACAGAGGCAGTCTGGTAAAAATTGGCTTCATCTCCTATAACACGGAATTAACACACACATAGTCCCTATGGTAGGATAGCAGAGGGGTAATCCTCAAATCAAAATTCAATTGTTTATGCGAGTATTCTCGTAAATTTTTCCATTAAGAATTCCTGGGGAACAATTTTCAAAACTCCGAAACGTAATGACGGACGGATTAACTTTTTAAATGGTAATGCTTTCGCTCAGTAACAGCAAACAAATTACGAATATGATGCTAGGGATCGCTTGTAGGTGCTTCCTTTATGGGAGAAATAACACTTGCGGATTACCAAAAGCGAAATGGAGGTGGAGGTATCAGTCGTTCTCAGAACCAATCCTTCGATCAGAAACACGAGCATGAGCACTCGTTTTGTGCAGGGGCTTCACAGATGCAGTTCCATCTATGAAGCTTGTTTTTTTCTGGGAAGCCACTAGACTGCTCTTGGCCCTTTCCTATACCGGATTTACTCCAAAAGAGACAGTTTGGTATAAAGGTCCTGATAATGCCTGATTCAGTGCTGCAGTTGGCCCATCGATCAGTCCTCATGTTGGGTCGATCCATGCAGTGTGATTTCTCCTGCCTTTGTATCCGAAAGCAGGGGTTCATCACAGGATTAGCCGGCTGGAAAGGCCACTAACAGCCTTAGAACCGTTGATTTTAAAATTTCTAGTCCGTCTTTGTTGGTCTACTGCCGTTAGATATCTAAACGTCAAGTCAAAGTCTAAAAATTGTCCATCGTTTTGTCCACGTTTTGTAATTTACCATCCTGAAAGCGTAAACGACGCATGATATTTTTCACGTTCAAGTATTCTTAGTGTGATGTCTTTTCGACTATTAAACCGTTCCCGGGATAAGTGCTGACAAATCAGTAAAACACGTTTGTAGTAATGCGCGGAGTGCAGTTTTGCATTTTCCTCGAAAATTGGCCGAGTTGCTGTTTGCTCCTCATCGGCCGTTTTGCATACCCGCAACCGGCTTTCGTCAAACTGTCCAAATTCAAACATTTATTTTCTGCTTTTCCATTCAATATCTAATCACTCGCTGCCCAGCACAAGGTTGTATTTCTAGTAACAATCTAGGCACTAACCTCATGAGATCACTCACTCCTCTGCTAGTGGCAACAAACAAAATACCACGGACAGATAAGTATGCGATTACACCATACTCTTAACATAGGTACACGCCCAAGCATGTGTTTAGACAATGTTCTGTGGTTACATGATTATTCAAAAAGATACATATTTCGGTCGGATGTGGTACTGCAGCTGCACTAGAAATGCTTACACCCAGACTGCCTGTAATACAGGTGAGGCAGTCAGACACATCACAGGGATGGCTGTGAAAACGTAAAGAAAAAAGCGAGCATAGTAAGATGAACAGGAAATCTTTGGAACAGGCGAAACTCGAGGGCAAATGATGAAAGCACAGTACTGTGGGTTGAACAGGTTCCGGAAGAAGACGATATCAACGCGAAGCATATAAAATGCGGATGGAAGGCCAACAGCCAATCACAGTTGGCGCATGTAGTCAAGGTCATTCCGAAAGGCATGTAGGAGGGCAATGATAGGCAAGGAGATGAATCTGAAAGCGGTCCAGGAAACAGGCAACGCTAATGACGAAACGTCTCAAAGAAGGCAGTTGGATAATACTGAGGTTTTAAATAAATAAGTAACAAATAGATTGTTCTGTTGTGTATCCTTAGGGGTACTTTAATGCATACCAAATGCGACTTGTAAACGTAGGATTGCGCTAGATTCCAGTTTAATGTAAACTAAAGCCAACAAGTACAGCCGGCAAAAAGAAACAGGGGTAAAATGAGTAGTTTCTTATTTTTCTAAATGATTGATGAAATAAGTCATCTTGTAGACCCCAGCCTGTTAAGGCAAGTCAAGAAACAGAACCGCAAGTTGATAGGCCAACGCAGTTCACGCTGGTGCAGAATACCATCAAGTCGCCCTATCTAGTGCCGAAGGGGGGGCTGCCAACTCAAGACTTTAATGTAAGAGTTCAACCTTGAACGCATGTGACTTTGTTGCCCCCTATTATTATCACGTTTAATTTTTAGAATTCGTTATACCTTTACCGAGCGTCTAATCCAGGCGTGTGTTTAATACGCTTCAGCTCCTTGTTCTGTAACCCTCTCAGCACGTTAAGATAGCTGTAGATATCATAAATTGCTCAATGTTTTTATTTGCTTTCTGTTTTCTGGTTTAACTGCTGCTACTGTGAACAGATGACGATCGTTATCCTAGATGTATCTGCACACCCTTCAGTCGCAACCATCTCTTAAAAAGGTTCCAAACAGACCTATTGTGTTAAAAGTAAGAATGGTGCATACAGTTTATCTCTAATTTCCATCGAATAGATATCAGCAAATCCTTCCGTTGATTTTCATCTTTCTCTCTTTCGTAACTCTGGCGCATATTTTTGTGGACGTGCATCCTTCTTTGAGGACGCTGTGGACTGCAATCTTAATTTTTATCCTCGACGGTTCAGCGCAATTTGTTCGTCAGCGTGAACACAGTTGGCCTAAGCTAACTGAACTCTCAACAATTTGTCATTACCCATTAATATTTGTGATTTTCCCAAATCCCTAAAATTTGTCGTGGGAAGTCGCGAGTTTGTCGGTGAATCAGACACAGTCATGTTGATTTTGATGTAAGAGCTCCGTTACTAGGCTCGGTATGTTGCGCCCAATTTTTAGTTATGCAAGCCCTGGTTTTTCTATATGAGCCAATGGTTACCTTTCTGCTTACGTTTTCATTAAAAGTACGTATATACGTACATAAGCCTGTTCCCAACTAATATGAAACATTCAGTTCGTAAGTAAGAATATTTTACTGTCGATAGCAATTCAGCTTTTAAAATACTCCGCACCCAATGCTGACGATCATCTACTACGACATATATTTTACGTGGATGGTATGTCTAGAGAATTAAGGCGCGAAAGCATACTTATTGATGATGAGCAAAAAGGACCGGAGAGAGCCAGTTAGCAAAGTCGTTCCCAGCCTCTTCTATCTTCCTCTGTGATTGTCCCGGGCTTCTTGTATTTCTTGACCTGAACTTCCTGAGCAATATTAATGATTTCGAGAAGTCAGGGTCTTTATAACAAGCAAAGCAAGCAGCAGTTAATAGTTGGAATAAAAGTATCCCAGTTTTTTCGTAAACCTGCTAAAGGGCGCTTTATGACTTCATAAGTTTCTGCAATGATAGTTCAAATACGCTCACGTATGCCAGTTATCTGGAAACGCCCGTGTCCTTTGGTATACACCTGACCTACTGGTCGACAGTTCGACTGCCGCCAGTGATGACGTCATCCGCATGTCCCACAGCGTGATGGGTGCGTGATTATGAATCGCGCGTGAACTAATCTATAGTGGGCCGAACTTTTATAGCGTCTATCGTAAGCTCCCCTCCACCTTCCACGATCTCCGATGCCATGACAATGTCAAGATGTCCGTAGGTGGGCTCAAGCGCAGGGGTTGACAAAGTGTGCTAGATGTGGCCTTGTTCCCATAACATGTACAAGGCTTCCATAAGGGCATATCACATCTAACATCAGTTAAAGTACCATATCGACCACAGTAAGAAGGAGCCATTGAGCCCGCTTTCAAGAGCGAGACTGAATATTTTGTACCGGAGGGACGGGAACATTTAATTCTTGTCCGCTTTTTAAATGATAACCCGGGCTCCATCTTGTTCCGGACTATAAGACTGACGGAAACGCCGAATCGCTACAATCGCGCCTCACAGGGTTAAAATTATGGTTTCTAGAACGGCCGTGATCCAAGCCTGGGTGTTTGGAAGCGGAGCGGTCGAGTTTTTAACAAAACGTTTGGGCAAAAAACATTAGAACTATCAGCGGTCAACTGGGCGTCTGCTATAGGATTTCCAAGAGAGTCTCAGATGATGGAATGTTTCGCTCTTCCATGAGTTTGTACTTTTTGGGAGAAAGTTTCGCGACGTTTAGCGTGCAGTTTCCGGTGAATTGGACCACTTCGGCAATCTCTAAGCTCGCTCTAAAATATCTCAAATGGAGGGCAGAACGGAACCATCATTCTAAGGATGGAGTCGACGAGAAAGTCTACGCAACCTATGGCGAAAGGGTAGGAGAGAAAAACCACGTCCCCGAAATTAGTTATTTTCTTGCAAGGACAAAACGAGAATTAAGCGGATCCGAAATTTCGTACAGTTTGGCAGTGCAAACACTTGTATCCGAACTTAGGAATAAATCAGTCCGGTCGTAGGAATTACGGTGTGTTAATAGTTCGCCGAGTGAGCTGATCGGCAATCGAAGATGAAGCTATATTTTGAGGGCAAAATTCTGTCAGCCTCGCGTTCTGACGCAGAAACAACTATTCCGTTGTCTGAGCCACCGAGTGGGCCTATGGATGACACTGACAATAGCATGCAACCTCTACAGAAAATTAGGTCAAGTATGCTTGATCCTCGGGTGGGAAAATTAACAACCTGACTTCACATCCCAACATCCACATCCTCAAACAAGTCTTCGAACCTTCTAGAGCCGGAAGACGGAGACCAGCGAACTTCGGGAAGATCGACGTCACCCGCAACCAATTGATACCTAAAGCTTCATTCGGCCGCAGCGTGAAATGCCAGTGAGAGACAACGACCAAAATTCTCATTGGCGTTGGGAAGATAGTAGACACAGCCAACGAGTGAAGAGAACTTATCTTTTATGGCAACTTGGAGCCAGCAGCTGTCTTCTGCTCTGGAGAGATTCCCGAGATTCAGTGGCAGAAGTGCAAGCGTTCGCTTAACGTGGATGCAGCTCTCCCCATCGCGACTGTTTTGACAATTTTTTCGAATGCACTTATAGTCTAGAAGAGAGAGTTTGGAGTTAGCTACGGAACCTGTTCGCCCTGTATCAGTTTCTAAAACAATATCTGGACAATGGACGAACACCAGAGTCTGAGGCAAAATCATCTTCTTTATCAAGGATCTGGGATTTAGAACAAAACGTTTTAGGGGGAAGACTGTTTGATTCTGAGGGAGGCGGGCTACGTCGTCCAGTAGTTGGCAGCCCACGGAACATATGGTCCGGAATCACCCGTCCGGCTCTGTAAAAGATTTTTTGGCATCAAAAGATTCCGACGCGGATAAAAAGTGGTACGACTTGGGGGAGGAAATGATGGGCAAGGAAACTGATTACTGTCGTTGTCTGGCTGATTTTCTAGTAAAACTTCACAGGCAGTGTACCGTAACTTGTTTACATCGAAGTAATACTGGCGACTGGATGTGTTAACTGACCCCGTTTGGACATTTGCATGAGGATTATGTATGAATGTATTTGAATGCTTAGAGGCAGAGCCTTCATGGTCCTGTTTGTATACAATGCTTTCACAAATTCGTTGACTGAGCGAAAACTTCCTACGGTCTAGTCGCGTGCGTTCAGTCTTGGCTTTGTAAGGATCACCGCGTAATTTGTTTGTACGGATAAACCCGAAAAGGTTCTCCCTTCTTAGTGAGCAATTTTGGTCACGGACAATCCGCAATGTCCAGAACAGACTCCAGTTTTGCTGCCTATAGTATAGAGGGAAAAAACCAAGCGCATTCAGCTTCTCCTGGTGCGACAAGTCGTTTAGGTCATCGACCATCTTCGTTGCTCTATGTTGCACCTGCTCGAGTAAGTCAATATCCTTCCTTGTTCATGGTGAAGTTGCCGGCATTCCATACCCCAGGTGGGGTCTTACAAGGACGCCAAAGAGTCATTCGAAGAGTTCCGGAAGGAATATTTGAAATGCGCGACTGATTCGATGTAAAGCACTAGTTGCCTTCTGGACCATCTTCCTGCAATGATCTGATGTCATTGGATTCGTAATCGTCCATACACCCATGTCTTTGTGTCCTTCTACAGTTTCTAACGCCGTCTCGTTAGTATGGTACTGATGTTTGGGGGACACATTTTTGCCGGTGCTTAGGTGCAAGACCACGCACTTGAACACGTTGAACTTCAAAAGCCATCTATTCGACCAAACACTCAGTTTGCCGATGTTCAATTGAAACTCCTCTGCGTCCTCATCGCATTTGACTTCACTCCATTTTTGTGTCATTCGCGAACATGAGAGCCTTGCAATCCACTTCGTTGATGCAGTCATTAACACAAATCAGGAACAGTACTGGGCCTAAAGCAGAAGCTTGTCAGACACCACTTTTCACCTTTGCCCATTCCGAAGTAGAATCTCCAATAAGGACTCCTTGCACGCTGAACGACAGAAAACTCCTGATCCATTTAAAAACTCTTCCTAGAATCCCAATTTTTCAGATCTTTTGCAAAAGAAGCCTTGTGGGGCACTATCCAAGGCCATTTGAAGATGAAAAATATAACATCCACTGGATAACCCTTGTTAGTGGCCCCTACTCATTCCTCGTGCGAGTATAGAACACTTGTTGGGCATGTCCGTTCTGGACGAAACCCGTGTTCGGCATCATATAATATTTATTTTTTCGGATATTCCTTCAGATGTCTTTTGATAATGCACTCCATTATTTTACACACGATGCAAGTAAGACTGACTGGAAGATCACTTCCGCAGTCAAGTCGCAAACCTCCTTTATGAATCGGAGTGATGAGTGCGCACTTCCATTCATTCGGGGGCTCGCCTTCTCCAAATGACTTTTTAAATATTGTAGACAATGGTTCGCATAGTTCCTAAGCTACTAGTGCGGGAATTCTGTCTGGGCCAGGCGATTTGGCAAGTTTCAGTGTGAGTAGTTCGGCCCTAAATATGGTCGATGAAGAGAGTGGTACCTCGACTGAGAAGGATAGGAAGGGGGTAAGAGGGGAAAGGGGAGTAGGAGGAGAAGTTGGCTGGCGAACGGATGGATGGGCACTTAATGAACTAGGTTCTCAGATGAAGACGGACTGAAAGAATTTAAAAAGAAGGGACACTTTAACCTGGTCATCAGTCTCCACCTTTCCGTCTGCAGACCCAATGACGGGGATCAGCTCCTGAGTTCCTTTGGTATTCCGTATAGAATTTCGGATGCTCCAACGAGTTTTGCGCTATATTCGGTTCTAACTCCCTTCGCAGCTTGGAAGCCTCGTTTCTACATTGATAAAACGCCCTTTGAGGGAACATCTTGAAGTTGTGGACGCACTGCTTCGATTAGTGCGGGAATTCTATTTAATGGTGTGAATGTTGGTATATTTGGCTTACCCTTTCCAGCATGAGGAGTAGTTGGAACACGCTATATTTAGGGCCGTGGAGTTTAAGTGAGTGGCGGGCAGTTGTGGAGGGAAATATTCCTTAGAAGAACTGGACTTACCCCGTGTACGAGGAACCGAAATTACACTCGGACTCGTTTCTGAATTGAACCCTTACTTTCATTTACAAGGGGTCGCCGGCGAAGTCGGTAGTGGGTGTTTGTATACAAGAGGTGGTGATGCCTTCAAAGGTCTCAACATCAAAAGTAGTCGAGTTCCCTAAGGAATTGACTATGTCATGTCGTGATGAGGCCGCAGATGATGTCAAAGAAGAGTTATTCGACATGACTACAAAGACGGTTATATCGGTGTTAGCCTTTGATATTTTTAAATTGTTCAGTCCCCTCTGCATTTGCCTGAAATTCGAGGAAACTGAGCAACGCCGCTTACCGTAGAATTCTCTAGTTACCTCTTCCTTTGACAAGATGAAGTCGAATTCTATCAAGCAGAAGAGAGTAACTAGTATCGGCGCATTAGGGCAGAACGAAAATACTCGTTTAGCTTGCGGAACTCTGAAACCCAAGCCAAAACTTTGCTGAAATAAATGCGCACCCTCAGTAGCAGACACGGGATTTGGAACGTTACGCTATACAAAATTATGTTCACGTTTCATCCTCTCCCAAGTTTCGGAGCTTATTACCCCAATAACTTCGAACGCTTATTCAATAACTTTGTCGGAAGTATTGTCTATGTCGCCAAATATAAACTGATCTAGTATTTCGTCTGTCAGTGTTCTGTTGCGACTAGCGGAGGCGTAGATGTGAGGGATTAAAGGACCAAGAGAGATTTTCGAGTCAGCCATATTTAGAGAAAGCTGCGAACACGCGCTGGACCTATTGGATCCAGCCAGGATTTTTGCACTCTGAGATAACGAGGAGGCCCCGGGCTATCGTCTTTTAGCAGTTTTTCTTCGGAGCATTACAAGGTACTAGACTGGTTTTCGTTGCAGTACAAGGAGCACAGTGTTGCTAACTTACAACAAAATGCTACTACTGTTAATTTACTACAGTGGCCAGAAAGAGACGGTATTACACGGCGTCAATAAAGAGGCACGTCGTGCAATGAAACTATTTTACCGTACCGTCTAATAAGAAAGGAAGAACTTATACCCGGCAATAAAAAACGCTTTTCAGGAAGAACTCAATCGAAAACACGCATTAATTGCCTAGGAACATGGAAGTAAAGGCCAGGATTTACTTATCCTTGAAAATGAGCCGCCCGCTTTGGCCTTGACATTTAAGGCATTTACATTATGATGGTTGGCAGAGGTGTCCATTGCGACCGGAGATACTAACTCTTCTCGCCAGAACTCTGCTACACACTCCGTTGAGCCACACAGAGAGCTGAGATTTCGTCCGTCTCTATCGACGATGTTTACTGTGTGCCTCACAGCGTGGGGACACACGGACGGTGACTTGTACGCAAGTTACTTTGTTGTGGTAGTGGAATTGCACTGCATCTACCGCGATACATCTCTTCTACAACACGCCTGTGGTCGGTATGGACATAAAGTCAATGAGACCGGAGCAGGGATCATGCGCATTGGCTGACGATCATAAACAGCCTGCCTGTGAGTCCCACGCAATTCAGCAAAAACGAATAAAGACGGCTGGAATCGCGGCTGCGTGCGAGCGCCATAGAGGCCACATTAAGAAGGAACCATTGCAGCTTCGTCCTCCATTCTGCAAAAAGGACCGAATTATCGTGTCAGCTGACAGCCGATTTTCTGCATGATTCTTCAGAGTTTATAAGGATTCCCTTACTTCGGAGGTCATTGTCTGGTCCAAGACGGTAGTGTAGAGGTTGAAGTGCGTTTTCGTACACTTCCGTTTTATCTGGAGCACGGCGAATATCATGGTGATGTTTTTGCAGTATCATAGGAAGCCACGTTGACTCTCCGAGAGAAGTTCGTGTCCGAAATGGTCGTTGAGATGATATGGAGGGATGTGAGCAGAAATTACTATGACAGTGCTGAGCATCAAGATCCCTCTGTAATAATCATAGGGTTACCGGTTTTCTTTTCGATTGTAGAGGTGGACGGCTGCCGCAGCCCTGAAATTGCTCTTCCACTAAAAATAGCCCTGACCCACAGTGGAGTTCGGAGCCTTTCTTGGGGTGTCTAAGCGGTCCTCTTCTGTGCACATCACCGTTTACCTTCTCCCGCAGGATGAGGCCAGAATAGGTGCTCAAACAAATGCTGGCGTCTCGTTTGCCATCCGGAGCCTCATCGTGAGACGACTGCATTGTTTGTCGCAGGAAATCAACGACCGCCTGACAACCCTACACCTGCCTTCAGAGGTAACCAAGTTAGCTACTGCCGCCAGCACCCACGCCACCACTGGGCAGCTCCGATGATGTGGGTATCAATGAGGAACGCCTTACTCCCAATTATGTTGGAGTTCTTTGTTGCGCACGTCGTCAAAACAGGACTGTTTTGGCAACAAGGACAAAGAAATCCGCAATACGCCAGTCGAGAAGAATAGGCCTTACAGTCTCCGGATATACGCAATCAAACAGGATGTCTTCAGATTTCGCCGCGTGACGCAACATGCCTAAAGATGACGACGTGCGTGACCGAGAAAATAGTCCAGCTGGCCCTGTTCAGAGAAGCGGGTTTCTTTGTAAGAGTGATATCCACCTTGTGGCGCGCCAGTTCTCGAGCGAACAGTGCCATCCTACTTTTCGGTCGGCAGCTCCGCGGGCTGTGTGAAATAAAACGAAACCTTCAGACGTCCAGAGTGAACAGGACAGCTCTAGCAGCCTGTAATGTAGAGTGGAGAGGGTGATGACGGAGGTCTTGGTTTGTTGTGTTGCTTCGGCAAAGAGTTAAGCATCCACGAGTCACGGTCAGACTGAAAATGGCATGATTCCTAGAATTTCCCTAGAACACATGCCCTAACCCCTTTCGAGCGATCGGGAAAGTAATTCTGTCCCCGCAGTAGGTCTTATTTGACGACCAAGAAGGTTCCGGACTCCATTATGGATTACGGCTTTGTTTACTGAAAGAGCGATTGCTGGGCCTATTCCCTCTCATAGACAAATAAACTGCAGTCTACTTTGGACGTTCCGGATTGTTCGCGGCCAGGGTTGCTAATTAAGAGCAGAGGACTTCCTTGAGTTCGCCCGTACAAACCAACTACGCGGCCATGCATACAAAGTCGGGAATGAGCGCACGCGTTTAGACCGACGAAAATTTTCATTCAACCAGCGGGTTGTCAGGCCGTGGAACTCGCTTCCAAGCGAAATGGTGACGGCTGACACAGTTTGTGTGTTTAAATGAAAACTTGCTCGTCTAGTTTTGGACAGAAATCGGCTTGTACAGCAAGACTATGCACAGCCAGTTTTGTAAAATCTGTCATATACAATCATTCGCACTAAATTACAGTTACCCTATGCACTACCTTGTGATTACGATTGAACTGTGACCCAATCACATTTTAAATTCCTGCAATTTTATTTCATTTTTGAGTTTGAATCTGCGAAAGCACTGTACATAAATAGGATCATCAAGGGCTCTGCCTGTAACCCTTCAATATATACATATACATATACATAAGGACGCCACAGGCGTCCGCATCTGTAAGCAAAAGTGGAATCGATGACTATGTAATATTCGCAGAGAAGTGTCGTCGACTAACGCCTTTTGGAAAGATCTTCGGTCACAACCTTCTCGATCGTCTCAGAAGATATCCGGTACAGAGACTTCTCTCGGAAATCCAATAGGGATCGCTGACACGGTATTCGCCGCTCGCCAATTGCAGGGAAATTAACAGAAAGTGCGGACTAATCTCTACATTACTTTCGTGGACTAGATGAAGGCGATCGGCACGGTGAATCGCGACGGATTCTGAAAAAATCGTGCAGAACTTCGGATGTCCGGAACAGTCCACGCATATGGTACGCCAAACGCGACGGAATTATGACACGCGTCGCAGAAAATGGGACGGTCTCTGAAGCATTTGCAGCAGCTGTTAGGTCGAAGCAGGGTTGAGTACTCGATCTCACCCTCTTCACTCTCATGTTCTACCGTGGTAAGCTTCCTAGGATCAGCATCCGTTACAGGAACGACGACTATCTTCCCGATATTTGACGTATTTAGTCGTCCAGGACTTCTCCCTGTTACTACTGCTCACGACGTACTCCTCACGGAAGACTCTCCAGTTTATGTGACGGCGAATGAATCTCTTCGTCTCTGACTGTCCACACCTCGATCTGAACATTAACACGGAAAAGATAGTGGGCATGCACCAGTTGGTCACGTAGCACGGAATCCATTGACCCGCACGTTAATCTCAACGCCATCCAATTCAAAAAGGGACGAATTTACCAATTCAGGCAGCATACCTTCACGGAGCACCTAAATTGACGAAAATGGTCTAACAGGTCTAACAGAAGGGTTTAACAGCAAGGGCTTTGGCCAGCTGCGAGGCCTTCAGTTGGAATCGTTACGCTCTCCATCTGAGCACAAAACTCAAGATGCAGTTAGCTGCCATCCTGAAAACGTTACTGTACAGACCCGGGACCTGAACAGTTTACGCAACGCTGAAGAAAAATGCAATTGCATCGAAACGCCCACCGCGCGAGGATAGATGAGGTGTGCCTACCCAAACGATTCTTCTACGGCGACAACACTGCGGGTGCTCATCGACAAGGAGGACAAAATTGGCGCTGCATGGATACACCGAAACTTTTGTCAGACATGCACAAAGCAATACGGCGACCTGGAGAGACGTCATCCAGGGCCGACCTAGGTGGAGCAGAGTATTGGAAACTAGAGTAGTAAACTACGAAGTAAATTGTGTCTTCGTTGTCAAAGCCGAAAGAGCCGCTCGCAAGTCTCGTTCGTCTCTGAACCGCATAGATTTTCGCTATGTAACATGATACTCTTATAGACTGAAGATCTAATCTTTACAGAATCTTGGACTTCCCCAGAAGTCCGTGACCGCCGCTACAATTTATGAGCATTAATCATTGAGCTAAACAGCAGTCTTCCCAATCCATGGCTTCTGTTGACCGTCTGTGGTGTTAGTGAACTCTAGGGTCAACATAAGTATCTGTTTTTTCTAAATAGGTGGTGAAAACATCAAACCATGCTATAGCAAGTGTCTCCGAGTCATGTTCGGTTGTGTCGGTAAAATGTTCCTCTCCGGTTTGAATAGAAAACTGTAGAATATCTTAGACAGGCAACGCATATTCATTGGAGTTCTTAGAGTGTACTGATACCCTACATTTGTGGGGCTCCCCAAAACATATCCGATTATATATATGCGATTACAAGTGGAGCTTCCAACTTTTATGTCATTTGTCATTAACACATAAAATGAGTTAAACAGGTAAGTGACCAGGTTGTTTATGGAATCAAACCGCAGGATCCATTTGAGAATTAAATCGCCTAAATATTCTGGAATTACATGGCTATATGTGTGAGAATAGACACTATATTTACGTGCTCAGTCTCCAACAGCATATTTGATAATATGGAGAAGTCGGAATTGACTAGGAGAACCAGATGCTTCTGCCATCTGAAGGCAGTGACGGGCGGCATCCTCCAGCTTCAAAATGCACTCTTTGAATAGCTGTTTCTCTGACACTTTCTGCCCACAGGCAAACGGAACGCTTTATTTACATCTGTTTTTTTTACGAACCCTAAGTCTTTATCCTGCTCCTATCAACTTTTGGGCTTATTCTGGAACTACCAGAATTATACGGGCCTTAGCAAAGATGTCTTGCTTCACTCTGTCTTGATGTACATTTATTTCTTCTATCACCGTCCTTTACTAGCCACACTCTGTCAAGAAACGCAGAGCTTAGTTGTATGCAATACCGAAAACAACACCTAAAATTGGCAATTTCTGTGCCGATGTTCGCTTGTATCTTGTAGTGTTCGCATTCCCGAGTCCAACGTTTCTAGCCAATGGCTTGCTGAGACGTCTTCTGATCCATTTGATCAAGTTTTCGTTGGAACGAGAGGAAAGCGAGCGCCTATACTTGCTGATGGAAAAATTTTTTACATCTGTTTTATCGACCTTTCTTCCGGACAGATGTGTGAAAAAGTATGTTTCTGGAACGGATTTATTTGATGGTATTATAAACTCCTATATCACCACTTTTTAGTTGCCTGTTTTAAGCTGCTTTTAAGTAAGCTGCTTGGTTATGGGATAATCGCCGGATCCATGTTTGGTAAGTATCTAATTGATCTTAAGAATTGGTTTTTAGTAAAGCTTCCGCAGCTCCTTAAGATTATTTTTGAAAAGAATGCACGTGGGCTGAGCGTCTCCGCCGTTCTCCTGGAATTGTTGTGTTGCACCGCCACTAGTGCCTATTCGTTCTACCTGAATTTTGCATTCAGGTAACAGCTACCGTTCTTGTCTACTACTCCTCCACTAAGATGCGTACATGGTTTTACGTGATGCCCTATAATTTTTACATAACTTTCTTATCTATGTAGTATTCTGCGCTTTTTCTTCCGAGTGTTTCTCCCGTGTAAATAATCCTTTACTTTCAGTGTGTCTTTGCCTTACGCAGTTTTACCACGTTTTTTGTGTTTCCGTTTTTCCTTCCAGCTCCTATGGGGATGCTGTATTTCTTGTGCTGCAGAATACGGCCATTGCCTTTCTGATCCTGTCCTGGGAGCAGTCTTATTTTGTGGGCACCTTTTTCCTTGGAACCTATGTCGCATTTGCTGCATATTGCTTCTCGCCTCTCGTTCCTCTGGGGACCTTGAGTATCATGCAGGCTGGTAATACCCCTGTTGTCCTTTTCTCAAGGGTAAGTCGGTCGAGTCTTCTCACATCTCAGTTTCAGTTCCTTGTGTGGAGTTAATTCTGGAGTGATTTGTGCTGAAGCTGACGTACACGCAACCGGCTTATTATAAGACTTGCACAACATCGATCCCATTTAGCTTCCCAGTCTCCTCTGGGTCTGGTGTCAAAGTGAATGGCGTTGGAGCTGGGCGCAGTGGCTGAATTAGCTCAGCTCCGTCTATGCGCAGCACGCCTCAATATGCTATGGTGAACCCATTTATGGAGTTTTGGACCCAGTAGAATGTACTCAGTCTGTCTGACTATACGGTCGTCGTACTATTGTCACGCTGTTAGATGTCTTGGCCATGTTAAATACGTGTGTTGGTAACGAATACCTGCCTGTGGTCTGCTAAGTTCAACGCTATTTCACCATTGTCCCATCGAAGGCCAATTCCCAAGCAGCCATCGGGGTGACCGAAGAGCCGCCGGGCCCGATTCAATCATCCCGTTCTCCAGCAATAATCAGTATATTATTGCGAGGGGATCTTTTAACCGGTTTTTGCAAGTGCGATTAGGTTTCTTCGTGCTAGTCGCCGGCAGATGTTAGTCCGCAAAAGTGTTGGGAAAGTTCCCCTCCGGTCGTGAATAAGCCAGCTGGCAATTGGCTGATTTTCACGCGGGCAGTTCATGGCTCGCTTTTTGCGAAGGGATACTCACAGCATCACATTTTTCAAGAGTCACGTAGACCGTCGTAATGTGGAGTGGGCTGGGCATTGGCCGTGGAATCTTGATTTCCCGGTAGCCTAAGCCTTGGATTCGGACTTCTGATAGCAGTGGGCACTCACGTCGTATTGATAAAGACTGCTCGCCGTCGAACCTTGGGTGCCTAGATCCAGGAACTTTTGCATATTCCGGTACCGATTGTCCGTTCCCGATTGAGTAGCTCAACGTGTATACTATTTCCCGTATCACTGAATCAGCGTTGTGGAGCGCGTCGGTTCTCGCGAACGCCTTAGCATACTTTAATTGAACACTTCCTCGCAAGTTTTTCGGGCATTTTTAGTACGGATTAATCTCCGGCAACCGCTCGAACTGTCTGTTCGAAATTATCTCTAAAGCTCTGGTCCAAAAACAACCACAAGGCAGCGAGCACAGAAAAGCGTCTCTAAGTAGCAATTCACGGTCGTCATTTCACAGCCCCTTCATCGGACTTTGCGGTGCTTTATAATGCAGTCAGAGTGCCAGACCTCAGCCGTTCATGCTCTGGTAGCACTGTGGGTGCTGCCTTACGCTTGTTTACATTGTAGCTAATCTTCGCTGAGGGTTGCTCCACTATCCACCAACCGTGAACATTCCGAGTAACCAACACCCAAGCTTGTGGGTGAAGCCGTCTACCCGTGATAGGCTCCGAGGGCAGCTGATTTGACCGGCACGGTAGCCATACGTGCCAGTGGCTGTGGGGTTAGGACGATACTCTCGCGGTAAGCCTTTATTACGTCCACCCATGTATTCCACTGACCACCCCCATACCATCAGCAACCAGGGTCGAGATAACACCCATAACGATGTGATCTGGTTGGCCCAGTAATTGACCGATTTGCCTCAAGTGGACCACATGGAGGGGACATTCGACTGCTGGCGTTTCAGAAGGAGGATATTTCTCTTCGTCAGCAGAACGATCGTGGAGAGGAGCTGAGAATAAAGCTCTGGCATCGCGTATTGAATATTCTTGGGGGCTGCATATTTTTAGCTCATGATCCACATGTAACATTGGCATAGATACCTGCCGTGACAAAGACCCTGCATGTCCACAATTTGGTGTGTCCGTCGGTCCGACTTTTCAATGGCATTTTATGAAAATGACCCTCACCTTGTTGGTCCGACGGTTTAACTAATGGTTGCGCGAACCGAAGCTGGATGGAAAGACTCCTTTTCATAACGATTCAAGGGTTTGGTACAGGTTATGCTCTCTTGTTCTTGGCGCGGTCAGTGAGTACCCCATCACCCCTAGGCAGAGGCGTTAGCAATAAATTCTTTAATTTACTCGTTAGCTAGCCGGCAGCTAGGGTTAGTAGGTCTTGTCTTCCAGGGGTTCCTGTTTTACCTTAGTCTTATCAGTCCCCTTATGTATTATGGTACATCACTTACCACTTATTCCAAGCAAGTCACCGTCCTGTGTTCGTCATGCTGCGGGTCGCACGACAAGCATCATTGTTCGCGGTGATCGAATTATCATCACAGCAAATCACTATTTTGCTTGCGCTTTAGCGACCGCTCTGGGCATCTAACTCCATGGCATACCTCGACCGTTCGTTGGCATGCAATTGATTATTTCTCCACTTTTTGTTGGCGGTTCCGCGTTACCTTCCCTGATATCTTATTTTCTCAGCTTCTTGTCACTTCTCCATTGACTTTTGGATTCGACTTATAAGATTCGGTTGACATTCGCTACTTTGTCTCCGCTAGTCTCATAATTGCCAAATTAGGCTCTACGTACGGCGTGTTTTATATGGTTTGGTTTCACCCTAGCCGTGGAATTACAAAAACGAGTGACCTATGACTGATCCTGCTCGTGACCAGTGCCATTTTCTTACAAGATTCCCAGCCGACGTTTCGATGTATCTTGGCCTCTTTTTTAAACGCTTTTCTTTCAAAACGCTTTCAGGGCCTTCAAATCTGGGCCAACTTCTGCAACGGCAGCACAGGCCAGTTGTCCGTCATAACCGTTGCTCTGATGACTGCTGGTTCTCTAGCCCGGATATTTACTTCGATACAAGAGACTAATGATTTTCTCATTGTCATGAATTATGTTGCCAGTTCGGCAGCAAATCTAATTCTCTTGGCTCAAATTGCGTACTACTGGAGAAGCGAACTCCCGCCTCCGGAGGAGAGGAAGAAGAAGGATTAACTCTTCATCTGTTTAGACTTTTTCTGGGCTTGTTCCTCTGTACAGTTCATCTGTCAAACGCAACGCGAGCTCGTTGGTACTTTCTGTGATTGTTTTTGTCTAACGGCTGTCCAACTTCTCCTATGGTGTGCAGATCTTCCAGCGATTTGTATACTAATTATTTATTAGTGCGGTTTTTAGATAGATTTGCAATTTGCTTTTGCCCATTTTACTCATCCTCGAGTTTTCACCATCTTCTCTTGTAAACAATTCGTTCCGCCTTTCTTTTTTCTTCACTGAAAACAACACGTCACAGGTGGAATTGCAAACAAACGGCGGTCTGTGTTATGGGGTAGAATTAAATTTTGGAAGTTGCGTTTGCGATAACTATGAGTGATTTGGTATTACGGCACGCATGAGTGTCAAAGGTAGGCAATGCTGTTGCGACGGTCGGTTGCAAGCTTCTCATGTCAAGATTCTCCCTTGCTATAACGACCAACGAATCCTGTTCGATGCTCACATGCATCTAGTTTTGAAATAACAGAAGCTTCAAATACGTGGAGGACAGTTACTTCAGAGACGTCGAATCAGTCTTCAGTTCGAGCCACGCTCAGTTCCACCTGATCGTTGGCGTTGTCGCGTTTTATAAATCATGTTTGAATTCATGGAGAAGATAATTCGCTCTTGGGGTCGGCTTGTTCAGCGTCCTCGGATATCCGGTTGATCGCCCACAGAGAATCCGTAACGGCAGTACGCTATTTTAAGGTCCAAATTACTTTTCCCCGTCGAACCTTCACGTCTGCAGTTCTTATTGAAATATCGGCAAGGACGCGTGTACGACCACAAGTAGTCCCTGCTAGTCTTTTACCAAACGAGGCACCTATGCCTTAGCCGGGTGGTGGCGTATTTGGTCTGACTAGCGGTAGCACTACGCATTCGGTTCATAAGTGAAGCGCTAGTTACCGACAGTTGCAATACTGCAGATAGTCAGCACTACTGGGTCCGCATACTCACCGGCCCGCCGTCTAATTGTTAGCGAACACGGCAATCCACGCTCGCGCTGAGGTCCATTTGACTTCTGTCATTGAAGAGGCTGTCCAGCTACTTGTATTTGTATTGATGCCAACAGTTGGATTTTAGCAGTCGACATCGGTTCAGTAAACGTGTCCACGCTATGGGAAGTTTCGAACCTCGCGGGTTGGGATGTGTGCGTGTGTGTTGTGTTCCCGAGACGGACCACGTGGTAGATGCGATGGATCAACACGGGGCCACCTCGGATCCTGGCAGGCGTCATCGGAATGCACACCGTAACAACATCTCGGTGTGCGGTTGCCCATAGACGCCGCGCACATTGGGACCACTGCGGCCTTCCCCATTATCGTTGTTGGTTAAAATCCTGGTCATTTGCTGTGTGAACCAGGGGGTGCGAAGTGGGGCGTCAAGGTGCGGGCTCGGTCGTGCCATCCACCTGCACCGGTCTCCTTGACTCTGGGTCCAAGTAGGGAGGAGGGGGAGTGCGATAGATGCAGCGAAAGTCTGCATCGATAAACTAATTCACGCACAAGTCGCTGTCCCTGTTTCACCTTGTTGTGGGGCTCACGGCGGGCATCCTTAGTAGCGACAGTCAAACTTTCGTGTGTATTTACATTGGTCCCCGATAAAAAGTTGTACTAGACCAATACGCAGGTCAGACTTTATCGACACGCGCCTGTCGGGCCACGCCGTACATGGGGAGCGTAGTGGCACGCCTAGATGGAAGAGAGAGCGAGTCTGACACTGGGCAATCTATCCTACTCAATCGGAAGCGGACTTTTGATATTGCATCCTAGGGTGTGCAGATGCTTTTAAATCCTGGTACCCGAAATCTGACGGCGTGCATTCTTCACCAGGATAACGTGGATGTCTGCTTCCTGTCTGAGGCTCGGATCCCCGACTCAGGCGCTTAAAAAGTAAATATCGCAGAAGTTACCTCCCACTTCGGCCTGTACCACAGCGGCACACTCGACGCTTTTGCAGACATGGGGCGGCGACCGCCATCTCGCAGCAGATGAGGCGCGCCCTGCTTGCATGAGAGCCAGTTAATGACCGGATGGATTGCGCGCGATTGAAGGCCCACTTAGCGAACATCACTGTCATCTCCGTGTACGCACCAACATCAGTTGCCGAACAGCGCGATAAAGGTGTCTCCTAATCGCAGCTGAAGGAGTTAGTTGTAATGCTGTCTCGTCGTGACCTGCCAATTGTTGCCGGGAACTGGAATGGCCAGAGGAGACCTGCAGGCCCTTCAAGCCGCGTTGGCTTGATTCTGGGCGCGACAGTAGCGAGGAAATGTCGAACTTTTTTGACCAGAGCCAAATGTTCATCACCAACATGTGCTCCCAGCACCGCCCGAAACATCTATAGACCCCGTATTCAAAGGACCACCATACGGCTAGTCAGACCGACTGCATTCTAGTTCAAGGGTCCACAGCTGGGTTCACGATGGCAGATCAATGCAAGATGCCGAAACCAACAACACCCATTGGTCGGGCCATGTCGTTGTCCGCACAGGCCTGGAAGTGCATCTCATCCGTATCCAAAATGTCAAGTGCAAGACGCCGTGATGTAGCGGCACTTCGACAACCCAGCACTCCAGAGGTCTTAAGCACAGAAGTTCGGCCTCGTTTTACGACCGGAACCAACGGAGAAGGCAGTAGACAATGGCCATCATTAGAGTCATCAGTGCATAAGGCAACTAAAAAATCTTAGGTTCACCCATGGGCGCCACTGTGACTAAATCGGCAGCAGAACCCTGCAATTGTCTGCCCAAACGACTCCAGCCAGGTCCCGCGATGATGATTCCTTCCCCCAACTCTTGAAAGTGACAGCAAAGCCGGTTAGGGATTACCAGCAGAAATATTGGGTTGAAACATCGACCTCCATGGACCAGGCCTCAAATGTTGACGACATTCAGAAGCTACCAAAGTATCAGCTAAATTATTGGTAAGCACTCTGCACTGATCTACTCCGTTAGCCATGCAGATGTCGGCTTTATTACCGTCAACTCGGCCAGGCTCGAGCGATGGCGTGAACACTTCGAGCATCTCGACTTCGATTACCAAATCATTACTCCCTTGCTGCGCAGTTTTATCCCTCTCCAGCCTATGCTTTGCCATGCGACCCCCCCTCTGAAGGAGAAGTTGCTAATGCAATGCACAGACTGTGCTCCAGCAAGGCACCCGAAAAGGACAGTATTCCCGTCGAAATCTACCTGTTTTGTGTCAACGCTTTTGCGCCCTGAAAGTGTTCATGTACGCGTGGGGAGGTCGGTTTGTTCCTGATGACTCGGACTCGGACATTCGTTAACCTGCCTTCAAGACAGGACATAAGACAAAATGCTAGAAATTCTGCGACGCAAACTCCAACGTTGTCGCAAATGTTTTTGTTTTTATCCTCAGACGATTACAGAGTGTGCGTAATTCTCGGACGAGGTCCAGCAAAGCTGGATTCCGAACTGGGCGTGAATGCGTGGACCAGATAGGCACACCGAGGCGCATTCTGGAATTCTGCCAGCAGCCGGCGACTGAAGTGGTTTGGACATGTTCTTGGTCATCCGCCTAACAAGCTTAGTGTTGTTATCCTTGGTCCAGCCCTTCTGCCCACATTGAGGCGCCTGACTGGACAGAGTTCATAACGACATGGAAGTTATTCTTGGACCTTTGCTGGCGAAGAGAATGGTTTGGGCTGTCCAGATTCGCTGCTGAAGGTCGTTACGTGTGGACAGTTGCGATTCACGACATCATCAAGTAAACTAATTTACGCTAATGTGGCACTCCCACTTGTGTACGGTTCGAGCTACCAGTAAAGTGGCCTGTGACATGTTGTGGGAACCTAGTCGTGCGCGATACGCGTAAGTGGGTCACAGCGTCCGAGTCAATTTCCAATCGTCTTTACACCTTTTTCCATGCGGGAAAATTTGGTGGGGAAGAGAGAGCGTGGTAGATGCTGCGCAAGTCTGCCGTCGGAATAAACTAATCTGCATACAAATCAAATTTCCTGTGTCCGCCATGATGTACTCACCTGGTGGAGTTGGCCGCCCGCGGCGATCGAATTATCATGTCTGCACCAAATCTCACCTTCAGCTTGAATCAAACAGGCCGCAGATCTATGAGAAGGAAAAGAATGAGTGAAGTCGATCCACCGCCTACTATACGCACTCGGAACAAATAAATACCACTTGAAACTATCGCGATGCGTTAGCGGTCGCTACTCAGAGGACAGCCATCTGAGTGGATAACTCTGGCTTCCTCATACCCGAGTGCCAGTCTGCAACAACTCCGCAAGGTAGTTTTTACGGTACTCGCCTGCGAGAGGTTCGAGGTTCGCTCACCGAGCCCAGTACGTGTGGCATTAAAGCTCAGGCCATGCATGACATGTGCAGACGAGCTGTTTATTTCTGCTACCCACTCTACCGAGGCCCACCGTTAGCCATCTTGGTTTTGTTTTACAATCGGTGCGAGGTAGATTTGAGAATAGGTATCGAAGTAGACGCTGCGTCATCTGCCTCATTTTACGCAAATCGCAGCCAATTCACCACCACACCCTTTGGGGCCGCGGTTGACCCCGTCAATTGCGGGCGCGCGAACAAGCGCTCGTATACCGAATATTCAGCCTACGCGGCATTCGCGTGATATTGTGCTGACAATGGGGTCACAATTGGTAACCTTTTCGCATCGTCAGCGCCAAACCGTGTGAATTAACAGCTCTGATTGGTCACTCCAGATAAAAAGTAATAATAGTAGCTGGCCATTTCACTGTTGTTCCAACAGTGTCGACTGCCCTGTTTGCAGAAATGCACGTAGAAGAACTCCATACAAGAGCCCATAGGCGATTATGACCAGTAAAATGCCAACTTTCTAATGAAGTGATCGGTAGTTCGGGTCTTTAATTCAAGATTACTTTATTTGTCGCGGAAGAAGCGATTCGTATAAATATAACGTTTGCACCAGTCCAGATTGACAGCAAAATTGAAATTTGTGTTT